ACAAACATAAACATGGCCTCTTCTTCTTCGTCTTTCTTTCCTTCTTCGTCTTCTTCCTCATCAATGACGAAAAAACCCACTCATCTTTCTCAATTCCGAGCAACCCTTTTCCAGAAAGCTTCTTCTCTTAAAGCCAAGAGCTTAGCTAGTCGACAAGAGACTGTCTTCAAGAAAGCCGAGGAGCTTTCGATTCTCTGTGGAGTCGAAGTCTGCGTGATCTACTACGGATCAGACGGTGAGCTTAAAACATGGCCTAAGGAAAGAGAGAAGGTCAAAGACATTGCTTTAAGGTACATTCAGTTAAGCGATGAGAAGCGAGAGGTTAAACGATATGATCTTGAGAAGTTTCTTAAGAAGATCAACAAAGATGATTCCAAGAAGAAGAACAAGAAGAACAACAAGAAAGTGAAACTTGGATCAAATCTCAAGTATCCGGATTGGGATCCGAGGTTTGATAATTATTCAGTAGAGCAACTCACGGAGCTGATTCAATCCTTGGAACGCAAGCAACCGGAGATACAAAATAGACTTCGAGCAGTTGTTGAGTCTCAGAGGAATGTTCATTACATGAACATGGCTAATCAAGAACCGATGCAGATGAATCATCTTCAACAGCAACTACTCCCTAACCAAGCTCAATCTCTAGCTCCCATTCCAAATTCACTGACGGTGTATCAGCATCCGAATATGGATATGTACTCGAGGTTGCTTGGTGGACAAGAAACTGGAATGAATGAGTTTCTTGGCAGGAACTTGTTACCTTACAACAGCTTCAACAGCAACTGTGCTACTATGTTTTCAAACCAGTTTAATCAGAACTGTTCCAAGGTTGAAGATTACTCTGTCTTTCCTCAAGGAAGTGGGTTCAACAACGTGAACGTGGAAGATTATTCCGGGTTACTTTGTGCGCAAGGAACTAACGGGTTGCAGAACATGGACATGTACGGGTACAACAATAGCAACAATGGTTTCTCGCATCAGTATGAGATTTAATCTCTCGCATTATAACTTAGGAAGAATATTGATAGATATTTTTATTCTGTTTGTTGGTTGATGTTGCAATTTTCAGCTTAAAACATTTAATCCTTTTCAATTATGTCGCTATGTGCCAATGTGACTAACTAATATAGTCTATTACTATGTTGGTTGTTTTGTGTGCTATTAATAATAATAACTCCACGAATGTTTCTCTTTCTCTGCTTTTGCTATTTTGAGAATATGTATCAATAATGTTTGCTTGATATAACACTTTTATGGAAGCCTTTTTGGTGACTTAGAGCATGTTTATTGGTGTTACCCACTTAGAGTGTCTTAGTGATTTTTTTAGTATTTAAATGTAGTTAAAGGATTTTGTTAAGAGATCCTTAATTTTAAAGGATCTAATCACTAAATCATCATCACTTGAATAAATAAAAAGGAAAAAAAGTTGTAAAAAAGAAAAAAAAAGTACAAAGAGATCGAACAAGTGTTGAGCTGTTCGGCTTGTTTAAGAAGTCTTCCAATGACTGAGATCAAAAGAGTTTAAATCAACGGTTTAGATTCACTGAAGATCTTATTACCTTCAAAGTGGGAACGGACCCACCAATCACACAGAGAAACAAAATCCTGAATTCTGAATTTAACTAAACTATTGGAGATCTATATAGTATGAGTGCTTTAAGTAACTTGATGATTCTACTTCGTTTATATTTTGCAGTTTTTTTTGGGTGGTAACTAGTAGTAGTAAGTTTGCAAAGGCATAGGGCGTTGAAAATGAGTGGTTTGGGAAGTAGAAGTAGAAGCCATAGCAAGCTTCTGTCTCTCTATTGGCGAAAGAAGAGTCTGGTGTTATTATGTATCCATATGGTGACAAGGTTGAAAAACCTATAGCAGATTCTCATCAGAACTTCAACATCGCTCCAGTTCAAGCATTCAACAATGTATTGCCATACCAAAACTCACTATCCACTGAAGGAAGTCAACACCAAGTGATAGCTCCTGCTGAAGATAATCATCACTCTGTGGTGGAGAAACCTGTTCCAGTCCAGAGTAGTGTCACCAGGGAACAAATATATCAGATAGCAACATCTCAGCAACTATAGCTCAGATTCTTGCTAATGGACAGCCCATTTCACAGCTTACACAACCAAATGATGCTACTCAGAGTAACAACCCACTTGGGATGAGCAGAGACACTGATGAAGCCCCACCGGTTACTACATCAAAGGAATGAGGAAGTTTAAGTTTGCACTTGTTGAGATTGTTAAGGAGCTTCTGAAACCAGCTTGGAAAGAAGGTAAGTTGAACAAAGATGGTTACAAGAAGATAGTTACGAAAGTAGTTGAGAAAGTGACTGGCTCAATGCAAAGTGGCAACGTTCCTACAACACAGGAGAAGATTGATCATTATCTATCCGCTTCTAAACCAAAGCTTACTAAGCTCGTCCAGGTTCCTTCATACACATATAGACCTTAACTTATTGCTTTCAAAAGCTGTTCTTAACCGTTTTTTTTTCTGTCTCTGTCTTCACTTTCAGGCATATATCAGTAAAGTCAAGAAGACATAAATGTTTTTAATTGTATTCTTAAAACATGGTTAGTCTTTTTTTAAGGAAGATGAGGTAAGGCTCTGTTGTTGTCACCATCTCTCAGTTCTGTAGATATACCATAGATATATTTGTCCTAAATGTTCCTTTTTTTTTTGCGACATGGTGATATGGTCAAGTCTCATAGATCAAGGACTGTGTTCTGTCTTTTTTTATACAAACTTAGACCAGATTTTCAGTGATCCTCCTCATCTCTTTTGTCTCAGTGTTGATCTGTTTTTGATCACTTCATGTTCTTGTCAACAAAACTACCATAGTTGAAAGAGACGTTCCCTAAAACGAATCAAATTAAAATCTTATATATTAAAACAGAAGTCATGACTTGACTTCATGTGTGATTTTTTTTAAAATAGACTATTACTAGAAAGTTATGTTACATTAATTCTCTAATAATCTTATCATTATTATATCTTATGAAAAATCATATCTATAATAACAAAGATATGCTTAACAATTTGGTTTTGGTAAATTAGTCAACACCTTCCAACTTAGTCACGCAAAATATGTCAATAGATATAAGTTTAGGAATCTTCTATTATTTATAAGGAAATATGTCAATAATATTTAAATGAATCCACAATATATTAACAAAAATCACAGATTAGTAATATGAAATATTTACATACCCTAAAAAAATTTACACCATATATATATATTTGATAAATTTATTTCGATGTAAATTTTTAAAATTATATTTTTTTAAAGAAGAAATTGTTTAAAAACTGCCTTTTTAATAAAATTCTTTATAATATTAATTTATGAAGCTATAAGTTTAGTTTTTAGCAAAAAATTCTTCGAAGTTTATATTATCTTTGCAAGGTAAAATATACTAATATTTAATCAAGCTCTATTTATATTACTTTATCTTAAAATGAAATACTAATCTAACAAACAATACAATATAGAAGAAGAAACAAACACATGGCTGAAAAACATGTATAATATATAAAATTTGAAACAATCTATTTGATTAAAACACTTATTATATAATATTATTATGTTTGAAAAACATTTACTATATATATCGTAAATATGTGATTACTATAATATATACCAATTTACAAGTGAAAACAAAATTTTTATATAACTAACTACAAACGAAAACAAACACCCGCGCGGTTGCGCGGGTCAAAATCTAGTTAAAATTAAAATTGTACCATTGGTCTCTTAACCGATTTAAACCGACCCGTACCGTCGCTTCCGCATAAGCGCGGAGCCGGGATCTTTATGTTTACGTGTATTTTTTCGATTGTTGGTTTAGTGGATTCTTCTAATGACACCAATTAATAATGAAATGGAAAATTTCATGTTTTTATATCGTATGTCAAAACTTGATATAATTCTATATTTATAGTATTTATATTTGTATTAAACAATTTATCAATATGAAAATAACCTTAATTAAGTTAATATTCGTTGTTTAAGTTTCATTAGATAGGNCAATTTTTTTTGAAAAATATTAGGAATGTGTTAAATGTTATTTATATGCGAAGTAAGGTTTATAGGAATAGTTAGGCTATAATATAGTTTTTAGTGTGTAAAAGTAGGTGTATTTTTTTTGCTGTAAATAGTTTTTATATCGTAGATCAAAACTTGATATAATTCTATATTTATAGTATTTATATTTGTATTAAACGATCTATGAATTTCATGAGTGTTTTATTTTCCTGCGAAATTAGGATCAGATGTATAACAAATTTTTCATATAGTTTTTCTCTATTGGAATAAAATGTTTTAATTTCTTTTTCTTTTTATATAGTTTAGCAAAATGATTAAACACGTGCATGTATTTGCATCCCATTTTTATGCAAATATTTATTTAAATAGAATAATTCAAAAGTTAATTTTGAAATACGGATAATGTTAGTGAAATTCAAAGTATTAATACCGAAAATATAAATTGTAGACTTATAATTAAATTACATAAATTAAAAATGACATCACATGTACTTATATCCCATTTTAATGCTATGATATATTAAAAGAATAATTAAGTTAATTTAAAAAATATTAGTAAAGTTAGTAAAATTCAAAGTATTTATAGCGAAATTATAGATTTATAGTTAAATAAAATAAATTAAAAATAACATCATACTTAAGTTCTCAACGTAGGCGGTTGTTGTGTACTTGTGTAGCATGTATACTTTTTCTGAAACACAAACTGTACGCGTAAAGATTTTCCATTTTTCCTAATTATTATTAAGCCAAAAGAAAAAATAATTTCCATATCGAAAATAAATAAAAAGGGAAATAATACCAAGATTAGGAAATCGAATCTAGCAGATCTCACTTACGATCTTCGACATTAATAACCAAAAATGGAAAATCTCAAACTAATCCTCTATATATATCAATAAATATGTAAACATTAAATCACAATTTCAGTTCATCAATCTCAACTGACACAAACATAAACATGGCGTCTTCTTCTTCGTCTTTCTTTCCTTCTTCGTCTTCTTCATCAAAGACGAAGAAACCCACTAATCTTTCTCAATTCCGAGCAACCCTTTTCCAGAAAGCTTCTTCTCTGAAGGCCAAGAGCTTAGCTAGTCGACAAGAGACTGTCTTCAAGAAAGCAGAGGAGCTTTCGATTCTCTGTGGAGTCGAAGTCTGCGTGATCTACTACGGATCAGACGGGGAGCTTAAAACATGGCCTAGGGAAAGAGAGAAGGTCGAAGACATTGCTTTAAGGTACATTCAGTTAAGCGATGAGAAGCGAGAGGTTAAACGATATGATCTTGAGAAGTTTCTTAAGAAGATCAACAAAGATGATTCCAAGAAGAAGAACAAGAACAAGAACAAGAAAGTGAAACTTGGATCAAATCACAAGTATCCGGATTGGGATCCGAGGTTTGATAATTATTCAGTAGAGCAACTCACGGAGCTGATTCAATCCTTGGAACGCAAGCAACCGGAAATACAGAATAGACTTCGAGCAGTTGTTGAGTCTCAGAGGAATGTTCATTACATGAACATGCCTAATCAAGAACCGATGCAGATGAATCATCTTCAACAGCAACTACTCCCTAACCAAGCTCAATCTCTAGCTCCCATTCCAAATTCACTGACGGTGTATCAGCATCCGAATATGGATATGTACTCGAGGTTGCTTGGTGGACAAGAAACTGGAATGAATGAGTTTCTTGGCACGAACTTGTTACCCTACAACAGCTTCAACAGCTTCAACAGCAACTGTGCTACTATGTTTTCAAACCAGTTTAATCAGAACTGTTCCAAGGTTGAGGATTACTCTGTGTTTCCTCAAGGAAGTGGGTTCAACAACGTGAACGTGGAAGATTATTCCGGGTTACGTTGGGCGCAAGGAACTAACGGGTTGCAGAATATGGACATGTACGGCTACAACAATAGCAACAATGGTTTCTCGCATCAGTATGAGATTTAATCTCTCGCATTATATAACTTAGGAAGAATATTGATAGATATTTTTATTCTGTTGGTTGGTTGATGATGCAATTTTCAGTTTAAAACATTTAATCCTTTTCAATTATGTGCCAATGTGACTAACTAATAGTCTAATACTATGTTTTGTGTTTTGGTGTCTATTAATAATAATAACTCCACGAATGTCTCTTTCTCTGCTTTTGCTATTCTGACAATATATGTATCAATAGTGTTTGCTTTTTATATAAACACTTTTATAGAAGCCTTTTGGGTGACGTAAAGGATCTAATCATTAATCATCATCACTTGCATAAATAAAAAGGAAAAAGAGTTGTAAAAAAAGAAGAAAAAGTACAAAGAGATCCAACAAGTGTTGAGCTAATCGGCTTGTTTAAGAAGTCTTCCAACGACTGAGATCAAAAGAGTGTAAATCAACGGTTTAGATTCACTGAAGATCTTATTATCGTCAAAGTGGGACCGGACCCACCAATCACACACAGAAACAAAATCCTCAATTTAACTAAACTATTGGAGATCTATAGTATGAGTGCTTTTAAGTAACTTGATGGTTCTACTTCGTTTATATTTTACAGATTTTTTTGGGTGGTAACTAGTAGTAGTAAGTTTGCAAAGGAATAGGGCGTTGAAAATGAGTGGTTTGGGAAGTAGAAGTAGAAGCCGTAGCAAGCTTCTGTCTCTCTATTGGCAAAAGAAGAGTCTAGTGTTATGTATATGATGACAAGGTTGAGAAACCTATAGCAGATTCTCATCAGAACTTCAACATCGCTCCAGTTCAAGCATTCAATAATGTATTGCCATACCAAAACTCACCATCCACTGAAGGAAGTCAACACCAAGTGATAGCTCCTGCTGAAGATAATCATCACTCAGTGGTGGAGAAACCTGTTGCGGTCCAGAGTGGTGTCACCAGGGAACAAATAGATCAGATTAGCAACATCTCAGCAACTATAGCTCAGCTTCTTGCAAAAGATGATGATGGGAGCGATGAAGAAGAAGAAGAAAAGAAAGAGGAAGAGAAAGACACGAAAGGAATGAGGACGTTTAAGTTTGCACTTGTTGAGATTGTTAAGGAGCTTCTGAAGCCAGCTTGGAAAGAAGGTAAGTTGAACAAAGATGGTTACAAGAAGATAGTGAAGAAAGTAGTTGAGAAAGTGACTGGCTCAATGCAAAGTGGAAACGTTCCTATAACACAGGAGAAAGTTGAACATTATCTATCCGCTTCTAAACCAAAGCTTACTAAGCTCGTTCAGGTTCCTTCATACACATATAGACCTTAACTTATTGCTTTCAAAAGCTGTTCCTAACCGTTTTTGTACGTTTCTGTCTTCACTTTCAGGCATATATCAGTAAAGTCAAGAAGACATAAATGGTTTTTAATTGTATTCTTAAAACATGGTTAGTCTTTTTTTAAGGAAGATGAGGTAAGGCTCTATTGTTGTCACCATCTCTCAGTTCTGTAGATATACCATAGATATATGTCCTAATTGTTCCTTTTTTTTGCGACATGGTGATATGGTCAAGTCTCATAGATCAAGGACTGTGTTGTGTCTTTTTTTTATACAAACTTAGACCAGATTTTCAGTGATCCTCATCTCTTTTGTCTCAGAGTTGGTCCCTTCATGTTCTTGTCAACAAAACTGCCATAGTTGAAAGAGACACGTTCCCAAAATGTAAAATGAATCAAATTAAAATTAAAATTGTACGATTGGTCCCTTAACCGGTTTAAACCGACCCGTACCGTCGCTCCCGCCATTTTAACTCTTGCTGTTTTTTTTTTCTGGGAATGAGAAAAAATGAGTCTTTGAGAGTAAAGGCACTTTGATATATCCGCCGCAGCACTTTAATATTTTCTAGCTTTTGAATTAAAGGAATCTAATCAATCATTTTGTGTTAAAAAATTCTACTGGAAGAATAACTTTTTGATAAAACACATCGGAAAGAATTAAGGATTTGTTGTGGAATAAAGAAGAAGGTTGTAACTCTGTATATCTTATTCATCACGTGCACATACATATATATACATACAAGAGAATAAGCATATTCCTTAGGAGATAAGGATTACAACAATAAAGGGGATGATTATCCTAATCCTATAATGATTAGGATAACTACAACATATGGATAAATACAAGGAGCTGGATGTGTGGATANGTGGTAAAAAGGGAAAACCAAGGACAGGACAAAAGAGTACAACACATGAAACTCCCCCTGATGAATACACCACTGACGTGTGATCATCTTGGAACTTCTAGTGTCTCTTAATGCCTTCTGGAACTCCATTAAGACATGGTCATGTCGTGCCTCTGATGCCACTGACCATTCTATGTCCTGGTTGGACAGATTTCCTTGTCGGACTGGTCTCCTGGTCGGATGGTACTTGACCAGTACTTGGATGGGCTTATGATCTGCATACAACCATTGTTTGCAGGCCCATCTCATGTCCCATTATGTCCCACGGATCCACTGATCATATGGCCTAGCCATTTCGTGGACATACTATATAGAGTCATAGACCAAAACATATATGAACCAACCTTAGGTTCCCATGGACACGCCTAGTCCATTTGGTCATATATCAACTGTATGGGCTAATGGCCTTGTCCATTATGGTCGATATCCTTTCTTATCCTTTGGGTAAGTTCATGTTGAGTAATAGACCTTAACTATCACGTCCATAACCTTATGAGTTACCTCACCAGTTGCTGCAATGAATATTATGATCACATCAAACCATGGATCTGCAGCAAATGCTCATGGACCTTTATACATGACTTATCGACCTTTCTTGCCTTTAGCAATACCATATCTATTAGGACTTAACCATGCCTACTTTTGGTCACTCTTTTGGACTCTTATAGTTTTCTTTATCCATTAGTACTAGTCTAATGGTCGTGCCTTCATTCAAGTCCCACATTATAACCTTTGTACTTAAACATCACATACCATACTTCCTTTAATGGTGTCCCATGACCTTCTTATATTAAGCAACGTACCAAAGTACATTGTAGTCATGGACCTTACCCACACATGTCAACAACTCGCCAATGAGTGCCTAATGTTGCCATAACAACATGGCTCATGTGTGGTGATGTATAGGTACAATTTATACTATATTGGTTCCTTAGGACCTTTAAACTATGCACCTTGATAGTCTAGTACCTCTAGGTCATAAGCACGTTTTGAACCAACATATTAGTCATCTCCCCATGGATGATTTGGACTTAGAATGTATCTGGACCTAGCCTTGGTCGGTATGAACTTTGGTATGGACCATACGGCTTCCTTAGCCTTTCCATACGCCCACTTCTTTTGAAGTTTGGTAGTGCTGATTCCAACACATATATCAATGACATAGTCATTGAACCATCCATCCTTTCTATGGATTAGTTTACTATACACCTTTTGTATAATACACATGGACTGATTGTACCAAGTATTTTCTTAGTATACCATATTACTTGCAGCTGCATAATATCAGTCTATGAACAGCTTAGGAACAATGCTGTTCTTGAGAATTCCTTTTCTTATTGTCATGGTCTTCCTTTAACCATTAATCCAGTGAACCATATGCTACTTACTACCTCATTACATGTCAACTTATGACCAGACATTTGTCAATTTCGAATTTGACTAGTAGCATCCACCACTTAGGAGTTTATCCTCTCATAATATGTTCCTATGTCTCGTGTAAGGACATGAATACCCTGAGTTCATTTTAACCTTTTCCTCAGGGATTCATATACTCACAAGACCTTACTGGTTTGATGGTGTTCCACATGGCCAATACAACCATCATACTTTTATATACTCTGAACCCCATGATCTATGATCTATGAGTACTCTTTCATGGGTTCATGATCCTCATTTCCATTTCCATAAATCTCAAGTGCTATTTGCTTATATAAGTCTTCTTATACCATTGGTGTTAACACTCTTATATAGT